CCACCCAGCGGCTCCACATCCAAAACCCAAACCCGCTGCCGTCAAGTCGATTCTGACTCACAGTGGCCCCCATATGGTTTCCAAGGCTGTAAATCTTTACAGAAGTAGATTGCCTCTTCTTCCTCCCATAAAGCAGCTGGTGGGTTTTAACCACCGACCTTTTGGTTAGCAGCCTTACCCACTGCACCACCAGAGCTCCTTAAAGACTCTACATGGTACATATCAAATGGAAATTCCTTTCTAATTCCACCTCCTTGCTATGGGTGGGCAGGTACAAGGTTTGCCTCATTCACCTTTATTCCCCAATACCAAGTGCAGGGCACAGCACACAATAGTTGTTCAATAAAGCAGGCTGAATCTTGAGCCCAGGGTATCTCCCAACTCTCAGATATCAAAAGTCTAGGGCAAGGGTAAGACTCCTGAGATTTCCCCTATCCTTCCCTGTCTGTCTCTATTGCAGCATGTTCAAATCCCATACCATTCTTCAAAGTACAGATCAAATGCTGCCTCCTCCAAGAAGTCTTCCTTGATTGTCACCACCTACAGGGAAGGCTCCCTTCTCTGAAGTCTCACTGCATTACCTTGTATTGTGGGTAGAGCAAATGTGTGTTAAGGATGTTCCTTGTTCACTGTGGTTGTTCCCCACAGTCCTTCTAACACATGGTCAGTGCCCTCCTCATTTGCCCAGAAGACAAATTTGCCCTGTCACCTGATTTTTTAAATAAAGTTTCATTGAAACACAGCCACACTCATTTGTTTATGTATTGCTTTTGCCTGCTTTCATGTTATAATAGCCAAGTACCAGAGTTGTTGCTTATGGCTTGAAAAGAAAAAAAAAAAAAAAAAGAAAAAAAAAAATCTTTCTGATTTGGCTCTTAAGGATCCCTGGCAGCACAATGAGTAAGTGCTTGGCTGCTAACTGAACGGTCAGCTGTTCAAACCTACTAGTCTCTCTGCAGGAGAAAGATATGCTCCTGAAAGAAAGGGTCTGCTTCTGTAAAGATTACAACATGTGAAATCCTATGAAGCAGTTCTTTTCTGACTGATACATAGGGCTGCTATGAGTCGGAATTGACTTGATGGCAGTGTTCTTGGTGTGGAATGGTTCTCAAACTTTAATGTGGGCATGAGTCACCTGGAGATCTTGTTTAAAAGGCAGATTCTGATTTAGCAGCTCTGGATGGAGTCTGCCTTTCTAATCATTTGCCAGCAGATGCTAATGCTCCTGGTCCATGGACCACATTTTGAGTAGTGAGGGTTTAAAGCAGCCACTCAGGGTTTATACCCAGTTCTGGATGAGTGGAGCTTCGAATCTGGGAACCACAGAGGCCATCATTTCCTTTTTTTTTTTTTTTTTCCCTTCCTATTTATCTCCATGTTCCTCTCTTAATCCTGTGGTCTCACAAGACCAGTTCTTCCTCTTCTCCTAGGCTGCTCCGTGCCCCTAAACACTTTGCCTCCAGACCTTCCCTTCCATAGTCACCTCCACCTCCATGTCCAGCATCTTCAATATGTACTTTCTTCACCAGTTTGCCCTCTTTATCTACGTATGTGCCCAGGACTACCTGACTCTCCAAGTATCTGTTCTCATGTTTCTCTTCTGTTTCAGGGCCCATTGGTTAAAAAGGGGTGTTCCCCATGGTCCCTATGTAGGTTGGCTTCCTCCCCCAACCCCTATGACCTGCACAGGTGACCTCTGATGGCTAATGCTAGGGTCTTGCCCATGACTCCTTCACTTTGCAGCATCTGCAGCAAACCAATTCTCCTGCAATGGCCTCTTCCCATTGGCTCTAAGAGTTCTCTCCCTTTCTCTGTTTTTCCAGTTCCACTCCTCCTCTGAGTCTCTAACTATTGTCAGTTCTGGGACCTCAGTCCTTGGACCACTATTCTCTATTTTTTGCCCAGGCCTAATTTCATCCATCCCATACTTTCACCTGCCACCTCTCCAAGGAAGGCTTCCTTCTCCCACTCCCTCCCAAGCTCTACCTCCGCACCTCTATGTTTTCATGGGACATATTCTCCTGTAACCTCCACCAGAACTCTCAGCCCAACACACCCAGAGTCATTTGCATCCTCTTTGCTCCAAACCACTTCCCCCCTAGATGTCTCTATTTCCAAGAAACCCCATTCTTCCTCTCATCCACTGCTGGGTGGCTTTTTGGAGAATGAACTACCTTCTCTGGCCTCCTTTCCTTCTCATTAAATAGGGGGAATGATACTTACCAGACTAGACTGTTCTGAGAACTGAGAGAGCGGATGTATGTACAAAGCACTTGGCATGTGGTGGTAGTCGCCCCTCTTCCACTCCTGTCTAGATGGTGCCACACATCTTATTTGTTCAGTGCCCTTAACTCTAGGAGATGGTGCCTATCCTATCACAGGTGCTTGATGGAGGCTGGAGACAGGTGAGATCGTGTTCAGGAGAATATCTAACTACCTCAGGCTTCTCTATAGAAGATAGAATGTCACAGAGAATTACGCTATAGTGATATAAAAGACATGACACTCATGGATGATTTAGGGCTTGGTGAATATAAAATTAGGAATATTATTATGGAAACCTATTCAGGTGCTTCTGAATCCCACTGCAGGCATGAGTTTCATTCTCAGGGCACCTGTGACCTACAGCTCCAAGTTTGCACTAATCAAAAGGCCCTTGTTTGCCCTAGTGCCTTTTGAACTACAAGTGTTTGCATATTCTGTTTACTACACTCAGTGCTGTTCACTTGGGAATTCCCTAGTGCCCAGCACAGTGCACAGTACAAAGGGAGACTCCAAACAGAGTCCTATGGATACTGGATAATAGACTTGGGGGAGAAGTACCAGAGGGTACAATGGGTCATTGCAGTATGCACTTTAGCCTCTTGTGGATTCCATTTCCTTCACAGTATGATCTATAATTTTCTTATTCATTTGTTCAATTTGTTATTATATAGTTGTGCTATTTGAACGTAAGCTTCATCAGGGCCTGGGCCATGATGGCTGGATTTCTGCTCTATCTCCAGGATAATACTGGCCACAGAGAAGGTATTCAGTGAATATTTGATGAGTGAAAGAATGCAGGCTATTTAGTCCTGATCTGTGAGGTGGATCAACATGGTTCAGGAGATTTGCTATGGCTGCAACAGCCCCATGAGGATCAGGACCTGTAATCAGGAAGCAGGAATAGGGACTTGAATCAGCCCACAGAAGCAATCATGCTCTGAGACCATGGCCTCTCACTTCCATCTTCCATGCTGGTACAAAGGCTATCAAGTCTCTAATAATCCTAGTGCCTCCTTTGGACAACAATCTTTCCTCAATGTCAAGATTTTATCATGGTCACTGTCACCCATGTAAGGTAGACCCTACAGGCACTCTCCCCATTTTACAGATGAGAAAGTTGAGTTTCTGACAGGTGGCCTACACCTAATATTTGTGGATCACTCGGCAAGAGTACAATGAATGACCCCGGACTTTGACTTGCCTCTCTTCTCTCCCATCTCCAACTCTAAACTGCACGGGAGTCCAGCACACAGGAATATGGACACCCAGTCCTGCTGCTCAAGTTCTCTCCCACCATTCTGCAAACAGCTGGCCTTTGGCCACACCTTGAACTCAAGAGCCTTAACTCAAGAGCCTTATCTCTCCATCCACAGTGTCTGGAACATAATGAACATGTTCAACACATGTTTGTCAAATGAATGAATGAACAAATTAAGCAAGTTCTCTGATATTTCCAGCAATGGTAGTGGGAGTCTATAACATGTAGGTGGTATTATCAGAATATTCTCTGCTCACTGCTTGGGCCTATGGATGTTAGGACCTAAGCACTGAGCTGAGGGGATGGGACAGCTTTTTGTTGATTTGACCTTCACCTGTGAAGGCTTCAGAAGACAAGCACTGACAGGCATGGCCTCTCTAACAAGGCTGGATTCTCCAAGGGTGGGAGAAGGCATACCACCACCATCACCACCCCACTGCTATCTAGTCAATTCTGCCTCATAGCAACCCTATAGGACAGAGTAGAACTGCCCATTGCATTTTCAAGGCTATAAATCTTTATGGAAGCAGATTGCTTCATCGTTCAACCTTTTGGTTAGCAGCCCAATGCTTTAACCACAGTGCCATCAGAGCTCATCGGTTATACAGTGGTGGGCAATATACTATATAGGAACAGGTATTCTGATATTCTGAGTTTGAATCACACTCTTTGGCTAACCAAAGGCATGTGACGAGCTCACAAAACCTCTCTGGATCTCAATTTCCAAACATGCATAATCTACCTTAGAAATGCGGGACTAATCCTGTGGCTTTCTAACTTTTCATCACCAAGATTCTATTTTACGGAGTTTTTCTCCTTTATCCTCATGTTTTAAAAATATCTGGTTTAATTATGACGAAAAGAATCACTTTTATTTAGTAACTTAAAAAAAAATGATAGGCAATCAGCCATCTATAATGTCCAACATCACGTACTGATAACATGAGACAACTAATGTTCAATATCAAACTGAGATAATTCCAGCCCAAAGCAAAGAACTTAGATGTTTCTGTCGCCTGTGAAGCTGGTTCTAGATAAAGTCATGATTCCCTGTAGACTTTCTGAAATAGTAAATCAACTAATAAAACTCTTCTAATCTTTGAGCCCCCAGGGCTACCAGTTCCTCAAACAAACACACATGGATCCAGAAGTTGCTAAGTTCTGTGATTCTGCTGTATGTGTGTAAGTCCTGCAGGAGGATGAGGCCCATCTCTTGGTGGAACTGGGAGATTCCTAACTAGAAGATTATACTCACAAAGATGAAACAGACCAAGATGGCAGAAACACAACAGACATGAATAATGATAGTGCATTTTCAAATGAAAAACATCTACACAAAATAACAACTTTTGGGCTACCAATGACTTAGACAGAAGTGAATATGAGAAATCAACAGAGACTTGGTTGGTGCAGGAAATGCATGCTACAGGTTCCCTTACAGGGCACAAAGCAAAGTCAACCCCGGCTCGATACTTACAAGTAATAGGAGTAGGAATAAGCATTTCTTCTATATATTGATGGGCAGTCAGATGAAGGAAATGTCCAAAAAGGGGAAAAAAGAAAAGACAAACAAACAAGAATTAGATTTATGTGAAATCTTGATTCTTAGAAATACACATAGTATTTCAGCACCCCTCATTTGGCAGGGGATAGAGATGTCCCTGATGGGCACAAATGTTAAGCACTCAACTACTAGCAAAAAAAACTGGCAGTTCCAACCCAGTCAGAGGCACCTTGGAAGACAAACCTGGTGATCTGCTTCCAATAGGTCCAGATTTATAAAACCCTACGGAGCTGTTCTACTCTGTGCACATGGCATCAACATGAGTCAGAATTGACTCCATAGCAACTAACAACAACAACAAGCTCAAGGAGATGTAAGTTTCTCACTGAGAATCAGACACTTCCAGTAAAAAAAGAAATGAGAGAGACCTCTCTTGTGATGGGGAAACGTGCTGCCTCACAGAGGTAGCCAACTCTCATGTTGACTGTTTTGTTTGAAAGCTCTATCCTTATGGTCAACAAAAACTATCTTCCTTGTAAATATTGCTTTTTTGGTCTTGAGTCAGCTTTCTGTGACCTCCTAGAACTAGTCTATCACTGTTCCACACGACAGTGCTCCTATTATATCAAGAAAGTTATAACTACTGCTCTGTCTTCTCTACATAAGACCAAATCATATCACAATTTATGTCACTAAGGTCATGCTAAGAGTAAGGACAGTGTGTAGCCAGCTTCCAAGATGCCCCCTATCTCCAATATTCCCTTTCCCAGTATTCATGCCTGTATGTAGTACCCTCCTACACTGAATAAGGGCTGATTCTGCACGTCCAATAGGATGTGGTAGGAGTTAAGTTCTAGAACTTTCTAGTACAGGTAAAAAGGTAGCCTTACAGCTCTTCTCTGGCCTTTTAGAACTCTCTCTCTTGGAACCCTGAGCCTCCATGTAAGAAGTGCAACTATCTTGAGCTTGCTCTGCTAGAGAGAGCATGTGGTGAGTCTCTGAGATGACATGAAGAAAAAAAGATGCCCAGACAACCCCAGCTTCTGAGTTATCCCTGCTAAGACTCCTGACATCATGGAACAGAGATAAGCCATTCCCATCAAGTCCTGGCAGCCAAAGTCCAGATTTATAAAAATAAACAATTGTCATTCTTTTAAGCCACCAAATTTTGGGGTAATTTGTTACATAGCAGTTGACCACAAAAACAGAATTTAATGTCATCATGAAAGAGTCTTGCACCGAGAGGGAGGAGGACCAAACTTCAATGTGAGCACACTCTAACTATATATAACACACTCTCTGTGCCTCCCTTTCTTCATCTGATCCTTTGGTGGGTTGCATTAGATCAGTAGTTTCTAAGCTGTGTTTCCAGGAGGCCCAAGATTCTTCAATATACTCTCTCTGAAATGGTGGCATCGAGGGTGGGGCAGGAAGGCAAGCAGATGGGGCTGCTGGTCCCCCACCATTTATCACAGCCAGAGCTTCTCCATTTTTATCTATTTTATAAATTGGTGTTTCAATTTCAGGTATCACATGACAAAAAGTTCCACTGTCCAAAAGGATGCTGGAAAAATCATCTTTCTGATGTCCCTTCTAGCACTTGGCTTCTGAGAAATGAAAAAACAAAACAAAACAAAACAAAACAAAAAAAAACCTCAAACAAGTCCATGCTATCACCTTTGTTATAATTTTTCTTATTTTGTAGGTAAATAGATAGGAACACCTTTATTTCATATCAGACTGAGCTACACTGACAACAGCTGATACGTTTGTGGATTGAGAAAATTTGCTGAATAATTCAGGTGCCCAAATATCCATATGAGTAGGCAAAAAGTTTCCACCCCTCTGGAGTTATTCTGTTAATTGCAGCCATTATCCAGTTTACCTGGCAGAGGAAGATACAGTTTTTATATCGACAGAAGTGGGAATATGACCTCAAACCCTCAAATTTTCCTCTCCTCGGAAGTGGCCAAAGCCCCCACATCAGGGCCATTTCTAGGATTTCCCTCATTTATCAGTATAGCCCACTCCTAAAACCTCAGAGAGAAAGTGACTGGCAAAGACAAGACGTTTTGGCAGAAGAGAAGCACCAAGCCTCCTTGGGAGGCTGATCTTGGAAAACCCAGCCATGGTGAAAAAAGATTTGGCCACCTAGACAACTGTTCAATACTCTGGACTGAAGGAACAAGTGTCTTAGATGATGAAAGAGAGGAAGGAACTGGGAACTGATGGATGGATACTGAAAGAGCCCATGGCATCATCAAACTCCCTTCACTGGCCATACAGGTTGGCACCAAAAGGAGATTGTTCTTCTTCTTAATGCTGGCCCTGTGCTGCAGTCCTGGACATGTGATTCCTCAGGAGCAAAAAGCTCAGGATCCTTTTGATAAAGAGTTATAGACACCTGTGCTCACCATATTGTCAAGAATACTGGGCTGGGAACTAGGATGCCAGAGTTCTGATCCCAGCTCTTGTACTTGCTCAGTGTGACATATTGCGCAAGTTAATCCATCCCTTTGGACTTCTATTTTCTGATCTGTCACCAAAGTGTATGACATAGATGACTTCCAGCTCAAACAGCTTTGAAGGGTGTTGATATGATGAGTCTTAGCATCCCAGAATCTCCACTAACTAACTGCATGGCCTTGAGAAAGTCATTGAACATCTCTGAGCCTTAGTTTCTCCGTATCAATGATGGGGACAATGATTACCTATTTCCAAGAGTCATTGTGGCATTAATATTTGATTATATTACTCTAAGTTATGTAAAAATCATATATGATTGATAATACATAAATTACTTTATGTGAGTTATAGTAACCATCATTAACATTAGGTCATATTAATCTAAACACGTGGTCTATATAGTACAGCTCAGGGAGAATGGTATACATCCCTGTCTTGTCCACAGATGTAAGGTTTGCTTCTTGTCACTCTTGTCACACTTGTACACCAGGAACAAAATTTCACCTCTTTAAGAGTATTAAAAATAGTAAAATAATAGGTAGCACTTACATGTGTCAGGCATTGTTGTCAGTTCTTAACATTAGCTCATGTATTCAGCTGTCCTAATAGATGGACATTATTATCATCTCAATTTTACAAATGAGGAAACTGAGGCCAGTGAGGTTAAGCAGCATGCATAAGATCACACCGATACTAACTGGGTTTGAACTTAAGCAAGATGACTCTAAACCTCATGCCATTGACCACTAGCCTATTCTGCCTTCGACAAAGGGAAAAAAACATGTTTCGAGCAATAAAGTGAGTCAGGCACTGATATGCCAAACTCTTTATGTCTTTAATCCTCCCCACAGACCTGTGGAGCAAGCATTATTATTCTTCTCATTTTTGGTTGAAGAATTTGAGACTCCAAGAGGTGACTCTTCACCAGGTCAAAGGTTTTTCATATCTTTGGATCAACTGCAAAGCCTTTTTCTTGAGCCAGTGGCTTCCTCAGGGGCATCAGACACCACCTCTTGGGCTCCAGTTTGCACTCAACTTTCCACACTCTCTGATTTTCTTTCTCAGCATTTAGGATTCATCTCTCCTTGGGCTCCTTCCTTGTGACAATACACTTCCTTCTTCACCTTCAAACCAAGGACCTCCTTTTCCAAGTAGTTTTTCTGACTTATCCTGGCTATCACCAAATGCCAGTGTCATCCCTGATCCAGCTTCATGGCAACTCCAGAAAGATGGTAACTGGCAAGTTTATATTAATTACCTGTTCCCAGTTAAACTGCAAATTCTTCCAGGATAAGAATCATAGTTCCTTATTTTGTGACCAAAACACATAGTGTGTGTTTCCTCTGAGCCTCAAAGATTTATGAAAGGTCTAAATTTACAAGGGTACTGAGATATTGCAAGTAACAGAATGCCAGAATCAAAAAATCCTCAGCAGGAAGACAGCCGTGCTTAGAAAAAAAACAACAAATCCAAACTTAATAAATCACACACTGCAGAAACTTCTATTCAGCAAGCTGACAAGATTGATTTCAGGCACAGCTTCTCTTTGTTCCATACTATTTAAACAGAACTAAGTTGTATATCTAACTATCCATTTGACCATCTACCCATCCATATAGCTCAGCTCATAAACCTACAACTCACTCATCTATCCATCTACCCATATAATAATTTATCCACTCAACCATCCATCCATCCATCCATCCATCCATCCAACAATCCATCTATCTATCCAACCAACAATCCACCCACTCAGCAATCCATCCATTCATCCATCTATCCATCTATCCATCCAATCATCCACTCATCTATCCAACAATTCATCCATCATCCACTCAGCCACCTTTCCATAATTAATTCAGTAAAAATTTCTGGAGGGCCTGCAGTATACCTGTCTTTGCCAAAACCTAGAGATAGAAAGATAAATTAGATCCAGATCTTTCCCACATGTCTAATAGGAGAATCAGACAAGAAAATTATAAAATAGATGAAAATAATAATAGCTCCCATTTCAAATAATGATACCTCACTTACGTGTCAGGTGCCATTCAAAACAGTTATTTTATTTAATCCTCGAAATAACCTCATGAAGTATCATTATTCCTGTTTTATAGATGAGGAAAGTGAGGCTCAGAGAAGTTAAATAATTTTTCCAAGTTCTTGTAGTTGGTAAGTGACATGGCAGGGATTGGATTCTAGTAGTCTGATTTATAGAGCCTGTGTTAATATCTACTATATTATACTGTCTTCTGGAGTGATAAGTTCTGTGTTGGAGCAACATGGGGAACTGTGGGACTATATCTAGGAATATGGTTGGGGAGGGAGTACTTAGTAATAGCCCGAAATCTATGATGTTTGCCTTGTAAAGTCAAGGAACAGCCAGATGGACTAGGGGGAGGGTTATTTCCAGGTAGATGGAATTGTGTGTATATGGAATGGGTGAGTGGATCAGGGAGGTGAGAATGTCAAGAAGTTCTCAGGGTCTGGTGGAACCACTGAGACTATGGACCCTAGTTGCCCTTCAGGTCTAGAATTGA